CACTTACGTTTCAAAATGCAGCAATTGCGGCTGTTTTGCTAAATGCCCCTTTGCGCCACCTGGCGGTCATTTCGCGAACAACTTTGAAATGCGACTAGTTTATTTTTGCCGCGGTGGATTTGCCGCGGCACGACTCGCGGCGGTAATAGGCATTCTGGTTGAGTACCCACTGTAGGTGGCTACTAAAAATGAGAGAGTAACTTACTGCACATAACTTAACCCCCTGGGGTCGGCTATCGCGCCGGCGCGATTGTCTCGCTTTTTTTCTTATCAGTGTAAAAGAGACTCAAAATACTCGGTTAATTTTGATCTTACATATAAGTGTTGTACATCATTAGATCCTGTTAAGTTTCTATTTTTTTTGTGGATACTCACAATAAAAACAAAGTGTTGTGCTTTTCACCAAATAAAGAAAAACAAACATGATGCGAGTTCTGCGTTCTCTCTGTCAGTGAAGTCCATTCTGAAACGCGTCCTAAGATTAACTGTAACTCCGCGATTACTTGTCACACAGGCACGAGAGGTTTTTCTTTATGAAGCTTAAATTCTCTTCTTTTAAATGAAGTAATTTATATAAAAAACAAATATTCTCAGTTTATGCAATCTGTATGAAAAGAGAGTGCTGTCAGTATTTTTTTCCCCAGCTCATTACACTTCATTACGCGTTAATCTGACACGCCCACGGAGGACGCGCGCTATTCAAACGCAAATGTCGAGGCAAGCCATGACAATGCCCACATCAGCTGTTCCACCGCGGCGGTAAAATGTGTGGTGTATTTGCTGCCTTTTACCGCTAAGAGGCGCTACAATCATAGACTCTGAAAAGTGTTCGTTTATTCCGGTTTATTCTATCTAATGTGTAATCTGCTGCCGCACCGCGCTGATTCAGAGCGATTGAAAGCTGGTAGCAGAAGAATTCAACAAGTGAAATGTAGTTAAAATAATTCATAATCACAATACTGAAATTAGGCTACTGAAATGTAATTGAATAAATAATGAAAACATTTCAACATAAAACATTGCAATAAAAACATTTAGGCTACATGAATGAGGCTTTACAACTTTATCAGGGTACAGACGGTAGCTCAGTGATCAACGCAACGACACGAGCTTCGAGGAGCTTCATTCGACCCGAGATCGAATCTCAATGTAGCATACATGTTCTTAACCGATGTTGTCCTACGTTTATATTTTCCCACCTTGATGCTTAAATAGGTAACTGTTTATATCTGTTTACTTATTTAAAGTCAAGAGTTTTGTTTGATTATCATTACAACATAAATTTGCTACATTTCTGTAGAACCGCAGCCGCTGCACAAACGACAAAAACTGATGAAGGAAGATTGTCAGCCGATTGCATCAGAAAATGAAAATGAAGAAGCTCGTCTTTAGTCTGCTAAATTATTGTGTAATGTAAAAGAACACTAAAATTACTTAAGTTTGAAACCAAGTTCGAACATTTCAAGGTTTAAATTTTTTAATTTAAAACAGGGTTGCATCTTGTTTAGAGTTTATTTCTTTTGCGATGCAAAATAAGAAACACTAGGCTAATCTTATTCTTGCGACATTTTAAATTTGTATTGCCAAAGAAATTACAGCTAAATTAAACAATTAAAACAGTAGGCCTACAAAACGAAAATTGTCCAAAGAAACATAATTAAATTAAAAACATGCGTTTCTCTTTGCCTCTCTCGCGCTGGATCTCTTTTTAACAAGTTTATTTAGTCTCCCTCGCTGCGCGCGCGGGTCTCTCTCTCGAAATTAAACATTTCGGGTTAAAAAACACATCATACAGCTGATAATACTGTATATGTCGCTGCGTGTCAGCCATACAAATCACGAAAAAATTATTTAACCTTTAATTGTTGCTTCAAAGACACAGCATGCCTTGTTGAATTCACCTTACAATAACTTCAATTGAAATTTTGTGTGAAAAAAACTTTAAATAGGCTACAATAAATAAACTACAATATTTATAATTTAATAAGATATGGGGTCTACATTTGGACACAGATTTATCCTTACAATAATTTTGCCTGCTCATCAGGCTGGCTATCCGACACTCTCCATATGAAAGAGGAACATTAACACCTTTGTCCAGCAATGTCCCTCCAACCCCCCACAGGCTATCGGAGTCTGAGGCTGACTTAACACAAAGAGAAGTCGCAATTCACACTTAAATCACTATTCTAGACAGTGTTGATAATGAAGGAATTAAATGATTTAAGTTACATGTAGCCTAGTGATATTTCATTATTTCAATAATTGATGAAATAAAACTGGTTTGGGCCAGCTTTTTCCAAGCAAAACTAAATATAATCTGAAAAAACGCATGTTAATTTGTTGTCATGAACAAAATGTTCAACTCAATATTAAATTCTACAGGGATTTTTGGATCCTTACAAGGCATGCAATTTGTGAATTAAGTTTTTATTTTATTTTGTATTATTCAAATAAATATCGAAACACGGTGCTTCGTGGTAATGCTGCTAAATTAAATAACATTTATAGAATAATTATGAACTTAAATGAAACAATATCGCAACATTTCGACAAATACATTATTTGATTTGTTTTTACATTTTAATTCAGGGCGATTTAGCCTACATAGAGCGAGATTTTCACCCTTGTCTTGTCATTTTCTCATTGGGAAGCGCTTACATTGCATGTTTGAGTAGATCCTCTGTAGGCCTATACTGTTTTTGTCGTTAGCCTATATGAATACAAGTTTACAGTTTTGAACGATGTAAGCCTCTCTTATCTGTATGACCAAAAAATTACGGGGGGGATTAAAATAATTCAGCAGAAGCAGGGATGTTTAGACCAGAAGGAAATCCTAGTCCCCCCTGGCAAATCACACTTTACTTAAAACCATGTGGCGGTGTGGCGTGAGAGCGTGAGATTTGGGTCAATTGCGTGAGTAGCCTACTCTCACGCTCAATGCGTGAGAGTTGGCAGCCCTGAAAAAAAAATATATATATATATATATATATATATATAGGCTATATATAATTAATTTTTTTACATAACTGCTTTTGAAATTACGATTGGTAGCCTATTATTATACAGATGCAAAGTCGTTCTGTTGGATACTATTTTTTTTCCTTAGTGTAAAATGGAAATGCATGATAATTGTATTTTATAAATATAAGCAAAAAAAAACTGTATGGTGTAACAGAGTTTTAGAGCTAGACAAATCTAAATAAATATAAAAAATACAGCAGACCTTGTTTGTGGGGATTTGAACCCGTGTCATCTTGATGATGAACCCTAAGTTCTACCGCTCGGCTATGAATTTTCTCACTGAGAAATACCCAAACGTCTGTTTCTCACATGAGCGATTTTTTCATTTAGCCTGTGAGTGTAGGCCTATACTTTAGCCTTTTACAGTTTTAAAAGATTATATCTTATCTGTATGACCAACAATTACGGAGTAGGCTATAAATGTTTGTTGTAGGCTTATTTGGAAATTACCATAACTTGTAGTATTTCATCCTTAGGCTACTGTTAATAGACATTAGCCCCACTTACGTTTTGCTAAATGTCCCTTTGCGCCACCTGGCGGTCGTTTCGCGAACGACTTTGAAATGCGACTGGTTTATTTTTACCGCGGTGGATGGCTAAAAATGGTATGTGGATGGCTAAAAGGTGTGACTAAAAATGTGCTTTTGGCTTTCATTTATATTTTGATTGTTTGTATATATATACACACTACCGTTCAAAAGTTTGGGGTCGGTACGATTTTAAATACTTTTAAAAGAATTCTCTTCTGCTAACCATGGCTGCGCTTATTTGATTAAAAATACAACAAAAATCAGTTATAGTATTAAATATTATTCCAGTGTAAATCAGCGGTTTTCTGTGTGAATATATAGTAAAGTGTAATTTATTCCTGTGATCAAAGCTGAATTTTCAGCATCACCAGTGTCAGTGTCTTCAGTGTCAAATGATCCTTCACAAATCAGTATAATATGAGGATTTGATGCTCAAGAAACATTTATTATTATTATCAATGTTGAAACAGTTGTTGGTCTGTCAGTTGTACAGTTTTTTTTTTTTTGGATTCTTTGATTAATAGGGTTAGGGTTAGAATCTTTTGTAACATTATACATGTCTTTACTGTCACTTTCGATCAAATTAATTATTCCTTGATAAATAAAAGTATTGATTTCTTTCCTCCAAAAAATAAAAATAAAATTCTCACTGACCCCAAACTTTTGAACGGTAGTGTATGTATATATATATATATATATATATATATATATATGTGTGTGTGTGTGTGTGTGTGTGTGTGTGTGTATAGATATTTATTTATTTATTTATATATATATGTTGTCCTTGCATTCTTTCTTGTGTGACACCACTGAATGAAAGGCTCATTAGTATGCAGTCTGCTCAGGTGAGAACTGCCTAATTATTCATGAGGGGGTTGGGCCGTTCCGCCCATCCGCATATTGCCTTTGCAAACAAAAAAATGTTTTTCACAATTTAAAACAATCTATTGTTTTATGTGAATGATTAGGCAGAATGATTTTCAGATCAATTCGAAGCAAAAACTCTAGGCGACAACATCCACTAGTCAAAAGTCTTGTGGACAGATATTTAGTATGTTATTTGTGGCCTTATATTAGAAACTTTATTTTTTAGTTTTTTCAATAACCACGCATAAACAATATTCTCTCAACAATACAAACATGTATTAACATGTTGTTCACATATTATGGTAGCCCTGTGTGTGCTATATAGAGTGTAATTTCACCTGTGCCATTAATATGTTTATAAGCAACTGAAAAAAGCAGAAATGTCAGAGCATGTCAAAACATCTCAAGGACCCTGAAAACACCTCAGACCCCAGGGGGTTAAGTTTTTGAAGTGACTGCTGACTGGTGCAGAGAATGGCACGACACAAACTGCATTCACTAGTGTTTTCCAGAAACGTTGCTTTGCTTGTGCCTAAAGTTATACATTAAGGATTTGTTAACAGTGAATGTGAAACTTACCAAGCACGATGATCCTTGGAGTGATTGGGAGACAGCTGGGCCTCTACATCTGAGGGAGTGGTAGTCTCCTATGCCAGCAAAGATAAAGAGTCACTCGAAAGAAGGTAACTTAGACGGTATATTATATCTAGGGTAGAAAAGGCTTTTTAAAATTTGATGATAAAGCAATTAGCCTTTTTTTTTTTTTTTGCTCCGAAGGTTTGTGCATGTTTACTCATAAAAAAAATTAAGTAACGTTAACTTACCACTATAACTTTATCAATTACAACTCTAAGTTACATCAATTTTCTCTTAATTAAAATATTGTTCACACAGTGGACAACAGTGACTTTAACGTTAACTGTTGAGTTACCCAGCATTTACCCAATAATTGAGATAGACGTTAGCACCATGTGGGTTAACTTAATTTTATTATTGGGAGGTGAGGTCTATTAAGGAAAAATTGCTCAACCACCAATAACATAAACCTGAAACAAACCTGTATTTACTTGAACAATTGGAGGCTCGTCAACTTGCATTATGTTGGGGGGTGTATAATGGTACGTAAAGTTAACGTTACTTAACTTACTGATTTTCTGGAAGTCCCGAATCCCGATAAGCAGTTGGTGAAGGATCCGCGATCCCAAGATGGAAACTCCGGCAGAGGCAACGGGTGGGGAAAAATATTCTCCTGGCTAGCTACCGATAACTATGTAACTGTTGGCTAACTCGGAGTCGGTGTTTGTGTTTGAAAGCTCCGTCGAATCAATTCATTAATCCTTGATTTTCTTTTTTACCACTCCTTTATAAACAAGCACTTTCTATTTTTATATCATGGGAACTTATCCTCGATACTATTCCTTATAAAAAACAATCGGATTGCTTTGATATCGCTACTTAGACCCAACTTTGCGAATCTCGGCTACTAGCCTTTAGTCCGCTAGCATTTCACGCGTGGGCTCGCGCCTATCGAGCGTCTGATTTTACACCCGTTTCACTGAAAGGATACAGGTTATATCCAGCATTTCAGTCCTAAATTACTAGTGATATTGGTAGTATCACTACTAATCTACTGTTGTTCATCTGTTATGGCGAACATATCAGATGTGTGTCTAACGTTACCTCTGAGTGCAGGTGAGGACACATTCGAACTCATTTCGGTACGATTGGAGCTTGAATCGGTGGAGAAACAGATCCGTGGTCTGCTAGAGAGGCAAGCCGAGCTGCGGGATCGGCGATCAGCGCTTGAAACGTCACGCGCCGATGCACACAAGTCAGTGGTTAGTAACTTTTTGACTCCGACTTCGTCCACTCCGTGCGTTTCTCTGCCCAGGAGGACGCGATCATCTCTGGCATCATTCACTCCGGCACCAACCCAACACCATGGACCCTGGGTGATCCCACAGCGGAAGACACGAGCCAGGACCAGAGCAAGAACCTCTCCGCCCCTCCCGGTCTTCGAGATCTCCACCCGGAACCGCTTCTCCCCTCTTCGCGAGTCGGAACGCGACGACGCCGTGACCATCGGCACTTCCATGGTCCGTCATGTCCGTGCTACCTCAGGTAAGGGTAAGGTGCGCACTCACTGCCTTCCTGGTGCTCGTGTTCTTGATGTCGCCGCACAGGTTCCCCAGATCCTGAACGGTGAAGAGCGCGTCGGAGCTGTGGTGCTTCACGCTGGAACAAACGATATCAGGCTACGGCAGACGGAGGTTCTGAAGAAGGACTACAGGAGCCTGATCGAGGCGGTACGCAGCACAGCGCCTGAGGCAACGATCATCGTGTCTGGACCGCTTCCCACGTACCGACAAGGACAGGAAAGGTTCAGTAGATTATTTGCACTAAATGAATGGTTAATGTCATTGTGTAATGAACAAAAACTGCTCTTTGTAAATAATTGGAATCTGTTCTGGGAGCGCCCTAGGCTCTACCGTGCTGATGGCCTGCACCCCAGCAGAATCGGAGCGGCTGTTCTGTCGGACAACATCTCCAAGACGTTACACACCGTATGACTAGAAAATCAAAGTCCAAATCACAGTCTTTGCTGTGCCAATTTAATTGATATAAGTAGTGTAGAACATTATATAGAAACTGTGTCTATTCCTCGTTTAGTGAGGCCAAATAATAAATCCACTGTAGGATCTAGGAAAAATCTTATTGTAATTAAACCTGAAAATCTAAATATCAGTGAACAAAAACAATTTCTAAAACTAGGTCTTCTAAACATTAGATCGCTCACACCTAAGGCGGTTATTGTAAATGAAATGGTCACAGATAATAGCTTCGATGTACTTTGCCTTACTGAAACCTGGCTTAAACCAAACGAGTATTTCGGTCTAAATGAGTCTACCCCGCCAGGATACTGTTATAAGCATGAGCCCCGTCTGATCGGTCGTGGCGGCGGTGTTGCAACAATCTATAGAGATATTCTTAATGTAACTCAGAAAACAGGTCACAGGTTTAATTCGTTTGAAGTACTGGTGCTAAACGTTGCGCTCTTAGATGTAAGAAATAAATCCCTATTATCTCTAGCCTTGGCTACTGTATATAGACCTCCAGGACCATATGCTGATTTCCTAAAAGAGTTTGCAGACTTTCTCTCAGATCTATTGGTCAATGCCGATAAAGCAATAATTGTTGGAGATTTTAACATACACGTAGATAACACAAACGATGCGTTAGGGACTGCGTTTACAGATTTATTAAACTCCTTTGGGGTCAAGCAGAATGTCAGTGGTCCCACTCATCGTCTAAATCATACACTAGATTTAATTATATCATACGGAACCAATCCAACCGATATAGATATTATACCGCAAAGTGACGATCTCACCGATCATCACATGGTAACTTGTATAATACGCACTGCTGAAATTTGTCATGTTGCGCCACGTTATAGACCAGGCAGAACAATCCTTCCGACCACTATAGATAGATTCTCAAATAGCTTACCTGATCTATCTCAGCTGCTCAGTGAACCCAAACAAACAGATGAACTAGAGGAAATGACTAGCAGTTTGAGCACCATTTTCTCTAGTACATTAGATATTGTTGCACCAATTAGATCAAAAAAGGTTAGAGAGAAAACTAAAGCACCATGGTACAACAGTGCTACGCATGCTATCAAGAGAGAAACTCGTAACCTAGAGCGTAAATGGAAACAAACTAATTTAGAGGTCTTTAGAATCGCGTGGAAAGACAGTATGTCACGTTATAAAAAGGCTCTAAAAGCAGCCAGGGCTGAGCATCTCCGCAAACTAATAGAAAATCACCAAAATAATCCAAGGTTTTTATTTAACACCGTGGCTAGACTAACAAATAAACAGACATCACCCGAGCAAATTATTCCGTTACAGTATAGCTGTAATGATTTTATGAACTACTTCAATGAGAAAATAGAAAGCATCCGAAACACAATTGTAAATGTACAATCCTCTATGGTGTCTTATGATTCAGCCTCAACTATCGCCCCTCAAGAACAACTACACCGCTTTACAACTGTAGGACAGGAAGAGCTAAATAAACTTATCATTGCATCTAAACCAACAACATGTTTATTAGATCCAATACCAACTAAATTTCTGAAAGAAGTGTTACCTGTAGTGGAAGAGCCTCTTCTTAATATTATTAACTCGTCTTTATCTTTAGGTCATGTTCCAAAAATATTCAAGCTGGCAGTAATAAAACCTCTCATTAAGAAACCGCAATTAGATCCAAATAACTTAGCAAATTACAGACCGATTTCAAATCTTCCATTCATGTCTAAAATACTAGAAAAGACTGTGTCCGCTCAATTGTGCTCTTTCATGCAAGAAAATGAGATATATGAAAAATTTCAGTCAGGATTCAGACCGCATCATAGCACAGAAACTGCGCTAGTTAAAATTACAAATGATTTACTTTTAGCTTCTGACCAAGGCTGTATCTCAATACTAGTTCTACTCGATCTTAGTGCTGCGTTTGACACTATCGATCATAAAATACTCTTGGATCGACTACAAAACTACACTGGTGTTCAGGGACAGGCATTAAGCTGGTTCAGATCGTATTTATCAGACCGTTACCATTTTGTTTGTTTAAATGGGGAAAAATCGAAGATAACGTCAGTAGACTATGGAGTGCCGCAAGGATCGGTGTTAGGCCCTCTGCTATTCTCAATATATATGCTGCCACTTGGTAATATTATAAGAAAACATGGAATTAATTTCCACTGTTATGCTGATGACACTCAATTATATATTTCATCACGGCCAGATGAAAACACTAACTCATCAAAATTGACAGAGTGTCTTAAAGATATAAAATGCTGGATGACGCATAATTTCCTGCTACTAAATCCAGATAAAACCGAGGTATTACTTGTTGGTCCAAAAAACTATCCACAAAACCACTTACAATACAACTTTAATATAGAAGGATGTCCTGTTACTTTATCCTCTACGGTAAAAGACCTGGGAGTTATACTAGACCACAACTTGTCTTTCGAAAATCATATTTCGTATGTTACAAGAACGGCCTTTTTCCATCTTAGAAACATTGCTAAATTACGTAACATGCTATCTGTTTCCGATGCAGAAAAGTTAGTTCATGCATTCATGACCTCGAGACTAGATTACTGTATGGCTTTATTAGCCGGTTGTCCTGCATCCTCAATAAACAAGCTACAGTTAGTGCAAAATGCAGCCGCTAGAGTTCTTACTAGGTCAAGAAAATATGATCATATAACACCGATTCTATCATCTCTGCACTGGTTACCTATCAGTGGCGGCTGGTGATGGAAAAAGTAGGGGGGGCTGAGGTGCAATGTGGTTTTAAAATTTTTATTTTAACAATTAAACAATTGCTGCCGTTTATTTATTACATTAACACCAAAGTAACGGCTCAAAAACAAATAGCATCTAATGTAATTATTAAAGTATGAATTTAGAACGTCCTTGTAGATTTCAAATATTGTTCTTTCAAAGACGTGCCAATTTGAGATTCATTTGGAAACCAAGTCATACAAGGTGAACTAATTGCTATAATTTGCATGAATTACAGTAAGTGCACAGAGTCAATATTCAATAAACACAAAGAGTTAAATAATCGCTGTTATTATATGGAGTAACCACTAGATGGAGAAGACTGTACATTAATTGGAATGGGGAGCAAGTCAATAAAAAATGCTATACATTGTCTCCAGTGTTCACATGAGTCAATCATGAATCTTATCCTTCAGCAAACCACCTCTAAGGCAGACACACACAAAAAATAAAATCAAAATCCTTCAAGCACTCAACATCTCCTCTGCTCCTCCAAGCACTCAGCATCTCCTCTGCTCCTCCAGAGACACAACAGCATCTCCACTACTCCTCCAAGCACAACAGCATCTCCTCTGCTCCTCCAAGCACAACAGCATCTCCCCTGGAGGAGCAGAGGAGATGATGAGTGCTTGGAGGAGCAGAGGAGATGCTGAGTGCTTGGAGGAGGAGATGCTGAGTGCTTGGAGGAGCAGAGGAGATGCTGAGTGCTTGGAGGAGCAGAGGAGATGCTGAGTGCTTTGAGGAGCAGAGGAGATGCTGAGTGCTTGAAGGAGTAGTGGAGATGCTGAGTGCTTGAAGGAGTAGTGGAGATGCTGTTATGTCCCTGTAGGAGCAGACGAGATGCTGAGTTCCTGATGGTGAGAAGCAGCCGAGATGATTATGCACTGTCACTTGTAAAGAAATTTGGCTCTCCTTTCTTTCT